GGCTGTAGCCTATTTTAAGCACAGCAAAGAACAGCACACCAAGAATGAAATACAGCACTTGTCCTATGCTGTGACATGACAGAACACAAAAAATAGTTTCTTCTGGTCTCCATTCCCTACACCCAACACACTGAAGGTGAAAGGAAACAGCAAAGGTGTGTGGTGCTGGTGACAGGGTCGGGGGGATACCACTGCTCTCTTCAAGAACCCAATTTTTAATAAATTACTGTGACCTTGAGTACCCAAAGTTATCAAGGGCCCAGATCTGGGAGTAAATTAGATGTAAATATCAGGGAAAACGTACCTTCCAGAAAGAAGGTGCATCAGTACACAGTCACCAAGAAAACAGCAGCACTTCTTCCTCAGTGGATTTAAAAAAACCCTCCAAATGAGGGTTTTTTGCCTCCATTACCTGTGCGAAACCCCAGGTGAGGCTGGTGCCAGCTGCCTCAGCCTCTTTCCACTCACTACCCACCCATCCACCGCTGTGAGAGAGAGAAGAGCTGCACAGCATAAAGTTCAGAAAAGCCATCTGTGGCCTCCAAATATCAGAAAGAAATAAATAGGCAGTGCAGGCCACTGAATTGATAATAAGAGAAGGCTTCCATGATGAGCCTAGAAATAGATCCTTCCGAATTTGGCAGGGAAATGACCCCACACCAGTACACAGTCCACACCACAGAACATCTCGGACAGCTCTGTCTAGCCTGGGACACTTATATAGATAGGAATAGCATGAGAGAGGAAGAGTTCAGCAAAGCAATGCAAAATTATTAGTAAGAGACCAACGTATAATTAGAAAGGTCATATAAAAGAGGTAACTGATAATCTCAAGAGCAGTTACTGCTTCTGTGTATCAGTCAGCAGCTTTTAGAAGGCAGATAAAAATACAAATTGTGCATTTAAACACCAACTGAATAGGTACAATACATATAATTTATGCAGAAGTGACACATGTCTATAAAGACAGATCTTAAAATTGCAAATTTATCTTACTAAGAGAAACAACACACTGGAGATGCAATGCTGGGCATCTGTTATTTCCACACTGGGGACATAGAGTAACGGAGTCTATGCTAATAAATCCACAGAACACTGCAGAAAGTCTTACAAAAGATTAAGCAAGGCAGTGGAAGACAGCTAGCAGCAACAGGACCCTGACTGACTAGGCTAAATGAGACACAAAAGGTTAACAGCAGACAGAATCCCTCAGCAGAATATGCCCTCTCATTATACATTGGACTGAAAGAAAAAAAAAAGAAGTACTGCCAGGGTTCAACTGGTATACTTTCAAGCCGCCTATGCCCTGCCTCCATTACCTGTGTAAAACCGCAGGTGAAGGTGGTGCACAGCTGCCTCAGCCTCTTTCCACTCACGACCCACCACCAGCACACCCTTCAGCTGCATATCCAGCTTATGAGGTGCATATATCCAGAGGAGAAACTGTGTTCTCTCAAAGGCAATTTCGAGGATGTCAAATTACTTCAGAGTAAGCATTTTCAGGGCATGTTGTTGAGATGTCCTTTTTTTTGATGCAGAAGGGGGACAGGCACTAGAATAATGCCCTTTGTCAAAGGAAGGAGAAACACAACCCATAAATTCACTGGGGAAATCATTGTCTTAATACAGCTTACCTGAAAAGTTCACTTCAATTCTCTATGTACAGTGATGGAAAAATGATGTTCGGTAAGTTGTGGGATGACTTCCTCACCATGCGGAGATTCTCAGCCCTATGCTATGTATGTTCATTTGTTGTAACAAAGCACACATCACAATTTATAATCCAAACACATCCTTCCATATCTGTTACCTTTCAGAGCAGTTCAGTTTCCTATTGTTTAATCTCAGCACCAGAAAAAATGCATTCCTGCAAATGTAATTTCAGCTCTTACTGGAGCTTCAGGAGTATGAGCAAGTGCTCATACTGTGCAGTGGCTTGTAATATAGGGATATAAAGGAAATACCAATAGGCTGCTGTGTGTGTGTACACAATATTGTATGTTGTCATATCTACATTATGATCCTGATGGTTTGTTGTTTTTTTTTTTTTCCTCTTCTGCAGGCCTCAAGCAGACTGATTAATCTAGCATGTGTGCCTGTACAGAGACACTAGGTGGCTTGCCACTCCAGTCCTGAACTGTGCCCAGAGCAAGAGGCTGCATGAGTGCGATTACCACTGTGTGTTCAGTAAGAACAGAGAAACTTCACAGCTGGGCCAGAGTGGGCATAAATCTGCTCTCAGGTAGAATGCTTTCTGATCTAGCAAAGCTTCAGGAAGCTGATTAGCAGCAAACTTGATGCAAATGCTGTTCCTCCATTAAAATAAAGTCCTAAAAACCTCAGAAGCAGCTCACCAAAGGATCGGGTCCAGCTCAATAGAAGGGTTTGAAACCTGCAACCTCAGAGGGAGGGAATAGACTATGCCTTTACGTAATGGACAGCTACAAAGCAGGCTATACTCTAAGGTGGAATAATACCCTACTTTCACTTACTAGCTTATTAAGAAGTTATTTATGCATATAATGCTACTGTGGAAAGGAAACCACTCAGGAGAAACCTTAGGAAAAGTTACACAGATGCTGACCGCTCCAGCACTATTGGCTGAAATTTACTGGGAGCTCAGAGAAAACATCCTGGCTTTGAAGATCCCTTTGAGCAGGGACAATAAGCCTCACAGTGCCCGTACAAATGGACAGCCAGATTGTCAGCAGCACCTAACCTACCTTCTCGACAGCACTTGGAGCTCACAGGATGCTCGTGAACCTCCATATCCTCCAAGGCACACCTCAGACAACACAGAGGACTATGGGGGACTGATGTTCAGCCTGCAGGGAGGAACACGAGGTCTCCCAGTACATGACGTTTTTTGCATATCTCGAAAGCAGGCTGCTGTTAATTCCCTTGTCTTTTCTATGACATGCTTCACTCACCCCAGACTTTCAAAGCACCTTTCATATGGGTAACAACTATGCTTACCCACTTGACTGACTAAGGCAATAAGGAGAAAGAACACACTCATGGTCACTCAGAATTAACAGTCCAGTACTTTATCTCCTAGACAAGGCAGTTTTACAAGCCTACTTTAATATGCCAATAAATATTTCTGGTAATTTTGCCTTACGGCACTAGCAGATATTTCAAAATAATTACACTTAATGCATAGACAAGAATCAATGCAACCTATCTAAACAGAGTTGGGGACAGGACAGAGAGAAGCAAAGATATTATTTTGCTTACAAGCTTCCCTGGTCTGTTAAAAAATGGTATTGTCAACATCAGCTAATACTCGCACTTGCTGAAGATGCATTTATGATGAACATCAGACATGTCAAAACGGGTACTAAAATGCAGAGCAAACCCTACAAGCCACATTCAAGAACCATGCTGGAGCTAAATGCACAGAATCATCACAACTCTGAGTCGCAGTCCATGTAACAGCACTGACTCCTAGCACGTGGCCCAGAGGCTCTGGGGAAGCACCAGACACAGTACAGTGAGCATGCTGCATTCAAATGGGGAGTTCTCAAGCCCTACGCAAATGATAACTATCAGCTCATATTCTGACTCAGAAGTAACCATGTTGCTCAATTAGTACATTAATCTAGCTGAGGTGGTTAAAAGCTTTCATGAAGTTTATCAACAGACTTCCAATGACTTTCTTGCGTGAACTCCACCATTGACCTGTGAATCATATTTCTTCACTGGACGTTAGCAGGAATGGCACATACAAAAGGCTCAAAGTCTTCAGCCTTGTATTTTGCCATGCATTTCCAAGTTGTTAAAAAACACAACAAATCAAACCCACCATGCAGCCATCAGGCAGTCCTTTCTTTTTAATGGAAGTACCTAAGCACACTAGGACCATGGTGAGATGTGAGGAGAGCCGAGGTCTGAACTGTGTGGCTGCATTGGAACTGGCCCAACCTGAACCTCGTTGCTCTGTAGCCTGGAAGTAAAATATCCACAGACATTTCGAAGAAAAAAAAGGAAGCAGAGCACCAAATCGTTCTCCGCAAAGCTCTTGTCTAGTTAAAGGAAGCAGCACTGCCTGCGGAGCAACAAGTCCTCTGTGTTTGGTAACGCCACGCAACTCCATTCCCGGAGCTGATGCAGACCCAGAGGCACACACGCCAGAACCTGACAAGCACGCCTCATTGTGCTCACTAAGCCCATGCACGGAGACTAAGCCCGCGCTCGGGAAGGGAGGCGCCGCTCACGGGGAGCCGCGCACCCCCCCATGAGCCTTTCCCTGCGCCGCGGACCCCGCAGCACGCCGAGCCGAAGTGCCCCGCCTCCCCCGGCCGGGGAACTTCCCGCGGGGCCGAGCGGCAGATCCGCGCCCGCCGGGAGCCGAGCCCAGGCCGGCGTGAGGCACGCGAGGCGGGGAGCAGCCCGCCGCCGGCACCGGCGCACCGGTCTCATTCGCCGACTGGAAATCTCACCACAGCGTTTCCACCCCCCCTCCACCCCCCCCGCCAACACGTTTCCTTCCCGCGGGAGGCAAAGCGCCCTCCGGCGCGGGGCAGCGCTACCCGAGTCCCCGCGCCGCGCCCGGAGCCGAGGAGCAGGAGGTGCTCCCGCAAGCCAAGCGGCCGCGGGCCCGGCGAGGGGCTCCGGCCGAGACCCACTGCCGCCGCCAGCCCGGCCCACCGCCTCGCAGCTCTCCGGGGCCATGAGGGAGTGCCGGCCCGCAGCGGGCACCGGGTGGGCGCCCCTCGGAGCCGGCGGGGAGAGCGGGAGGCGGGGAGGAAGCGAGGCGAGGAGGCGAGGGTGGCGGCGCCGGGGCCTCACCTGAGAGCAGAAGTAGGAGCCCTGGATGCCCAGCTTGAGGCAGGTGGGGCACTGCAGCTTGGCCTCGCTGCTGCAGCCCGCCGTCTCGCAGACGCGGGTCTCCACGGCCGCCATGCTGCCGAGCTGCCACAGGCGCGGCGCGGCGAGCGGCGGGGGAGGAGCCACCGGCTGGGCTGGGCGGAGCCGCCGTGCCTCCCTTCCCTTCTTTGCCCGGCTCTTCCCTTCTCTCCCCTCTTGCCTTCCACGCTAGACGCTGAGTGGCGGCTACTGGCAGCGGGACCGGTGAGGGGCGCGTGAGGTAACGGCAGCGGCGGGCGGCGGTTTGGGACGGTGCGGCGGCACGGCTGGCTGGGAGTTCCTGAAACACGCTCTGAGGCAACCGGGAGAGAGCGTGCATCCGGGGGCTTTGCCTCGAACGGCTGTCGTGTAGGCAGGGCGGAGGGGCGGTGCGGGGAAATGGAGTCGTGGGGAAATGAGGTGCGGTGCGTGGAAACAGCCCCCGCGGCTCCGGGCTGACGTCGCGTTTCCGTGTGTCTTACAGATGCGCTTCGGAACCGCGGCAGCCGTGGAGGGCCGCGCGGCGGGACGGCCCGGCGGGTCGGTGGTTGGCTGGGCTGGAGCCGGGCCCTCAGCTCCTCACCTCGCGACTGCAGCCCTTCGGCGTGCTGCTGATGGAGTGACCCCTAAAGAGCGTTTGGGATGAGGGATCAGCTCCTCGGGACCCGGAGGTCTGCGTGCGGCACTGGGCGTTTCGTCCGATCACACTTGAAACGAGTTGTGGTGTAAGTGCGTGTCTCTAATTGCACTAACTGCACTGTTCTTGTGGTTTTAATCAATGCAGCTATATCGTAAATTTGATCCTTAGGTCGTACCTTCTTACACTAAGAATTATGGTACTTGATACTGGTTTGTAGGACTACATAGCTTATAATAATCCTATTTTCAGACCATTTGGAGGGAAAAGCTGTCAGATTCAGTAAGGTGGTAACTAACATTAGAAAAGCAGTCTGCAGTCACAATGCCATTGACACTGGAAGCTGCTGGTTCTCTTCCTGAAAAGAGAAACACTAGACATAAATGATCTGTTTCCATCCCATAAAAACGTGAGACTAATACATGTTGTATTTCTCTCATTTACATCAGTTGGTCTCCATAAAGATACCATCTGTACTGATAAAGCTCATTGTGCTTATGTTCTCTGAACACTGATGTTCAAACTATTCTCAGTATGTACTAGAACATCTCTCATCCAACATCAGCGCAAGGCACTTCTCTCTGGTTTATATTGCAAGAGGAAGTTGTTTTTTGAAAAGAACACAGCAAGATGCCTGATGTGTAGGAGAATAGCTGCAAAGACTTCAGGGCACATTTGCTAGATCCGGTCATTAAACCTGGAATCCCACTCCTTGCCTAAATCTCTGCTGTCTTTCTAGCTAGCTAGCAGGCACAGCCTGTTATTTTAGTCAAAACACTGTAGGATCAAATTCTCTCTTGTGTAGTAAAGCCTGTTTCAGTTTCACTGAGTTCAGTGGAACTGCACCAGTTTGTATTCTGATCTTGTTACACAAAATACCCTCTCTTCCTGGCATCCAGATAACTTCTCAGAGAAAGCAATTCAAAATCCATTTTCTGCTTTTATATTGTGTTCCGTTCCTTTTGGTGTCCTGGACCAGTTTTTAATACTACTACTACCAATAAAATATTTCTTAGGAAACTGCAAGTACAAGTGCAAATTTCTATTTACTAACTCCAGAACAAAAAAGCATACATCCTATTCTTTTACCACAGTAAGTGTACCCACGCAGATGTACTTGCTTTTTTATGTCAAGAGGTAAAAACTGCTGTATAGCCCAGCTGATTACAGGAACAAGGGACAGATAATGAAGGATGCAGTCCTCGTTTGTTGTGTGATTAACAGGTTCTCTAGTACAGTCAAACAACCAAAGCAATCTGATACCATGCTGTTACTGAAGTGTAATTGCAGTATACTCCTATCTATGAATACTTCTGACAATTCTTGCCTTCATTTCTCTAACACCAATCATATTGTATCAGCCTGGTTTCTGTAGAAAGGGTGAGGGTGAATTAATAAATGTTTCTAGGATGCTCTCAAGGTATGAAAATTACACCTCTTATTTTCTTCAGTGGGTAAAAATAGCTATGTATTGATTTATACTCTTCGTGCTGTGACAGCATTTCGGACCAAATACTAAAGACAGGAAACCAATTGGCAACAAAGACCATGAAATATCTTTATGATGTGTTTTTGTAAATACTTTAATAACAGAAGGAGGACTGAGGAGAATCTCCATCTTTTTTTTTTTTTTTTTTTTTTTTTTTTTTTTTTTTTTTTACCTCCACCAAGGAGGAGGGGAAGGCTGAATTACTGAATGCCTTCTCTGCTGCTTTGTATAGCTTAGTTGCCACTTTGTGCAATGTAAAGAACCCTAAGGAGTTGTAGGCATCACTTAACTGGTTAAACAAGGTTTACAAGTACTGTGTGCCACTGGTGTGGTACAAAAAACCTACAGTGCTATGATTGTTGTAATCCAGTGTGCTCTGCTCACTGGATGTCATCTGCTTATTGATGAGATCTCAGTTTAATCATCTTTATTAATTTTGGATACTTTACTAAATTTTATGAATATTTAAATCACATTTAATTTCATGGCTGAGTGTAACATGGGAATGAATTGTCAGTAGCCTTGCTGGTACAATGTTGCTGTACGTTTGGGCTAACTTTGAAGCAGCTGACAACGGTGTAGGTTGGGGGGGAAAAACAGGTCTGTCATTGTAACAAGTAGATAGGGTTCCTTCTGTTCCTTAATTTTGCTTACTGCTGCTTTTCTGAAGCGCCGAATAAAAGCAAACTGTTTGCTTACTTTGAGAAGCCAATGATGTGTGCATTAACAAAGTATTTTTTAAATGCATGTAAGTAGAACAGTGAACTTGCCAGTTGAAGAATTGATGAAGTTGGTTATTTCTCCCCTTCTGTGTTTGGAGAGGACACTAACTGTATTCACACATCACCCAAGAACAGCAAAGTCTGAGAGATTTGACCCAAGATTTTTTTGTTGTGATGTCTTTTACCTTTTAAACAGCCCTATATTGTCATCCCCATACAAAAATTGTGGTATTTCAATGCTTTTACTTTCCCAATTTGATCTTGACTTTTCTTATTTGATAAGTGAATCGATTCATGCCTCTTGGAGGTCTGACTGCTGCCATTTCCCATTATCTGGTGGTACACTTTCTCAGCAGGGAAGTTCATTGATCTTTGCTGTGACCTTACTTGTGTAGAACTCTTTTTTGCTGCTGGGCTTTTCTTGTCACTTTCTAACTGCTTGTCTCCCTGTGTCACAGACAAACACACACAAGAGGAGAATAGGAGTCAGAAATGTTACAGCCTGTTCATGATCCTCGATTTATGACAATGCTGTATTCCTGCCATCCTCAGAACTCCTCCAAAAGGAATTCAAGACTGAGTGAGTGAGGGTAGCAAATGAGGGCAGGAGAGGTCAGCGATGTCTCATGGGTTAGGTAGGCTACAAAAAAGCAAGTACAGCTGGCAACTGAGACAGCTGCTACTTAAGAAGAAAATAGCCACTGAATTTGACATTACTTAATTAAGAGAATGCATTAGTTCTCTTTGCTTCTATATGTTGCAATAGAGGAGATAGAGTAATTGCACTTTGCAACTAAAGCTCTTGGGTATAGTAGCCGTACTCTGTTCAGGCTCATTGAAGACCCACTTAAATGACTTTGCTGAGTGATAGCTGAAACAATAAAAAAATACCACCCAAGCACCAGTCCACATGCAAATACCAACTATGGCTTGGCCAGATGGCACAGGAATTTACTGGGATTCCCATAACAAATGCAGCAGTTACATTGGGTGTGTGCATCTGTATGTGCGGGAAGAATGAGAAATAGCAAAACCAGCTCAAGAGCATAGGAAAACAAACATCTGACAGATCACCACAAAAGAATGTGTAGTGTGATCTTAAACACAAGTGAAAAGTAGCTTTTGTAAGAAACGATATACAGAGAGAAAGACAAACCTGTGGTCAAAGCAAATAGGCTTAGTCTAGATAGATATAAATAAATACAATTTAAAAATTATAAACATTCCTTGTATACCAACAGATGTATGTTAATGGAACGTGTGTCCATTTTTCTTCTTTAAGGAAAAATGATGTGAGATTTCAAAGCCTAATTCTGTGGGCCAAAAGGTTAAAAAAAATAAAAATAAAGGCAGCAATATACCACAAGCTCCTGACTCAGTACTTCCACCAGAAGTACTGCAAACTTGATTACCGTTATGGCCACAATTCAGAATGGAGCAGGTTATTTCAAAGCCAATAATGCTCCAAGAGTGCCTTCTTGTAGCAGAGGTGGAGAGGAAGATTCTTCATGACCTTCTGTTTTGTTTTGATTAAGTAGTGTTAATTCTTGAAATATTACTACAGTGGATCAACGTTTCTGCTGTGATTTAGAAATGTTTCTCTCCTGATTCAAGAACGTTCTTCTGGTATCCAGCAATCTTAGCATTTTTCAGTATATGCATATGAAAATGTCTGTTTCTAATGGAACAAGAACAGAGGACAACAAGCTACATCTTTTTAAACAACATGATATTTTATTGAAAACATTCCCACTTAAACAACAAGTTATGGACAAGAGACTTAACATGAGCCAGCAGTGCGCTCTGGCAGCTCGAAAGGCAAATGGGATCCTGGGCTCCATCAGGAGAGGGGTGGTCAGCAGGGACAGGGAGGTGATTGTCCCTCTCTACTCGGCTCTTGTGAGGCCCCATCTAGAGTACTGTGTCCAGGTGTGGAGCCCTCAGTACAAGAAAGACATAGAGATTTTGGAAAGGGTCCAGAGGAGGGCAACTAAGATGATCAGGGGGCTGGAGCACCTCCCCTGTGAGGACAGGCTGAGGGAGTTGGGCTTGTTCAGCCTGGAGAAGAGAAGGCTGCGGGGTGACCTCATTGCAGCCTATCAATACCTGAAGGGAACCTACACCCAGGAGGGGAGTAAACTCTTCAAAAGGGCTGACAATAGCAGGACTAGGGGAAATGGATCCAAGTTGAAGGAGGGAAGATTTAGGTTGGATGTTAGGGGGAAGTTCTTTACTAGGAGAGTGGTTAGGCCCTGGAACGGGCTGCCCAGGGAGGTTGTGGATGCCCCGTCCTTGGACGTGTTCAAGGCCAGGTTGGACGGGGTCCTGGGCAACCTGATCTGAATGTGTATGTTTGGTGGCCCTGCCAGGCAGGGGGGTTGGAACTACATGATCCTTGAGGTCCCTTCCAACCCGGGTGATTCTGTGATTCTGTGATTACAAGAAAGTTCACCACGTATCGTATTTGCAAGAAGCTGTGGATGTTTCTCGAGACAATAAAAGCTTTCATTTTTAAAATTATAGTAATGTATGAAAAGTCATGAAGTTCTGGCCCAGTTAATTCAGTGGGAATGTTATATTGACTTGTATTTCATCAGAATTAAAAATTCTCTCTATTTTTAGGTTTCAAAATCAAACTAAGATGATGAGATCAGTGATGCGAGTGACTTGCTATGTTTCTTTTCAAACCTGAGATATGAGTGTACAGATCAATTAGACTTCATACTTGCGTGCTTCTGACTTTGATGCCATACTTTGCAGAAGGAAACAGATGTTCCTAACAGCTACTGAAAACTGATGGAGCTTTGAAGTGTGCAAGGATTACTGAGGAAGCATTTAACACTACTTCAGAACCCTACTGTAATGCCCAAAGGTACAGTTCTGTGGATGTATACGATGCCTCTTCGACGTCTATCTTGATTTTCCTTTCAGTTTGAAGATGATGTCACTACACAAGGTCGCCACACCATTGCAAGGACCTTACTTACGTATGTCAGTGATTTAAAGAAAAGATTACTGTAATTCACAATCCTCTCATTGCTGTTATAAGTTGCTGGATAACTTCTGATGTCACCTTTAAAGGCTTTGGACCTCTTTAATAAAGAAATCAAAGAAAAACATATAACAAATCACAATGTATTCCTTTTTGACTGGAAGTAAGGTAAGTTGTACTATATTTGTCTATCTTATTAAAAACCATTAGTGAGCATACCTATCTTGTCAGGGACTTTATTCAGTTACCACTATATCACATAGAAAATGAGAATGCAGCCAATTACTACATGGCACTCAGTACCATTTGATTATTAGCATGCATTCACACTTACTGTCAGTAAAGTGACATTTAAGGCTATCAAACATAGTCCTGTATACCTGGTTCATTAAGAATGAAAATGCAAAGTTAAACACAAAAGAAGCGGAAGAGAAAATGATCAGTGGGGAAGCAGATTCTGGATGGATGATCTACATTAAGAGGCTCAAAGGCAGGATTAAAACAGAGTCAGTCAAAGCATGAGCGCGGTTGCCAAACAAGTAAAATGGAATATCAGATCCATCTGGCAGCACATTAGGCAAATAAATAGGGAGGCTCATTAATTACTGTATTCACATTAAACAGTCTGTAAACAATTACTAGAAACCAAATATTATAAAATAGATAAAATCAAAGAGCATGTCACAGGGCACAAAAATAATGCTTCTGAGTGTACTGACATACCTTCTAAGTGTACAAATTAGAGACTGTGCTCTTTCAACACCTGAGCATGATTTAACTTTCTACTGCAAATGGAGCATTCTTTTCTTCCTTGATTCCTGTGGTATCACTGAGAAGACATGTCTGAATTATTTTCTTGTGAGTCTTTTTCAGTATTTATTTTTTTTATAATGGTACTATAAAAGGTTAAGATCTTCAATATATTTTTGCTGTGTTTTTATTTAGAGACACCAGGTGGCAGATAACACATCACTTCATTAAACCTCCTCCCTTTAAAAAAAAAAACACTTATGTAAATTAAATGTCAGAAAGAATACAGTAGAAACTTACTGTTCCAAGACATTTTGGTGATAATCAATGACGCTTCAGTGATCTACAAACAAATATAGCATAAGGCAGCTTTCTTGCATCTCCCAGTAGTAAAGAAAAACAATGAAATAATACCCTAAACCACTCTTCTGGCTTGGCCTGTCTTTGGGATTGTGTTCTGATTTATTGTGTCAGTGATAAATACTTTTTAATAAAACTTTCACATATACGTCACCATCTCAAGACCTATTAAGAAAATCCTGAAGTCCTACAAGCTCTTCCTGGTACGCTGTGCCAGCAGAGAAGTATCTGTAAGTGTGGATTTTCTTGCACCTCTACAAACACTTTTCCAACTAACGGTCTCACAATACCACTGCCTCCACAGGACTTACAGAGGCAGGCAATTTTTTTTGTTAGAACAAGAGGAAGTTCACCTCTCCTTAAAAACAGTTTGGTTTTGGAAAAGCAGCTCCTTCAATCAATCCCATTAACAAATTTATTATTAGAAATCAAATAGTATGTGCAGAGATCTACATCCAGCTTAAAGAGAGAGACTGTAGAAGAGCACAAATAATTCCTGACATGTTCTGAGCTGATATTGGGTCAATTTTACTAATAATGAAATGCCACGGAAGATAAAGTTGTTCAGCAAGGACAAAAGATGTACTGGAAGCAGGAGACTGTGTTGCTTGTACGCAGATATACAATGTTATATCTAGACACTACAAAGAGACTGACTTTTTAGACATTTTCACTGTCTCTTGAAAAGCTAGTTAGAAAGCCCGTGTGGAGACAGACAGGTTTGACTTCTTGAGTAGCAGTCAGGATCTGGCTTGAAATCTCATATTTGGAGAGTCATTCTGTGGCAGTGACCATACTTTACTTTGATGCAATATCATTACAGGATCAATACAGGATACAGGGCAAAAAACCCCACAAAATTTATCCTCAGTTTTGAAAAGAGAAACTATATGAAAATGGGACAGTTTGTTAAAAAGTAACTAAAAAACACAGCTACAATGATCAAATCCCTATAAGAATTAAGGAAGCTATTTTAAAATGCTTTAAAACCTAGGAAGAAAGCTTAGTACATGTTTGGACTACTAAGGAAGGTTTGACAATCGGCAAAAGGAAAGACAGCACAGGTAAACAGCAGGCTAAGGAAGGCTACTAGAAACAAGAAAACATCTTTAGAAAAGGTGCAGAAATACTCGAAGGGAAAAGTAGTAGAAAGAAATGTAGATTCCATCGGATAAAATGTAAGAAAACAGCCAGATTGTCTCCTTCCAAAAGGAATCAAAACTAATAAATCTCTCTTCACACCTCAGGAACAGGACGCCTTCCAGACTGGTACTATCATTGATAACCAGAGAAGTTTACAAACTACTTGAGCCAATTTTCACAGTGAAGGAAAGGGGAAACCCTTGCGGGAGATTCACTTGATATCCAGTGGAAACTGCTAAACTGATAGCATGAGCAGTAAGAAACAATTAGGAACAGATGGAAGTTACTAGCAGTGTCTGGATTGCATACTTGATGCCAAATTCTAAAAAGGGTTGCCTGGAAGATAAGGAGCCTGACAGGCTAGGCCAGGAAGCCTGCTCACTCTCCAGAACTAGTAGACAGCTGGATAAATATTATTTACTTTGAAGAGACAACATGTCTTTTGCAGAGGGAAATTCTGCCTTATGAATCTACTGAATTCCATGAAGAGTCAACCTGCATATTGAAAGGTGTGACTCGTATAGCTTAGTTGCATTTATCTGCTTGCAGCAGATGAGGGAATGCAAGCCTAGCTGAAGTGTCTGGAAGATTTATTTCCAGTTTCACATTCTTAACAGCTAAACAGCTGCTTGTTTCACCTCTTCCAACACGTTCCTGAAACACTCAGTTCTCTTAAGACTGTGCTGTGTGCAATGCAGCTCAGTCCCTCTGTCACCTTCCTAGCTTACCCTTCCCTCAAGACTGTAACATCGTACTTCCTTTCTTTTATGAGATGAGCAACACTGGCCAGGCTCTGGAAAGTGATTTCAAGGGGAACAGCTTTAAAAGGCAGATTTCTAGGGAGACCAGAAAGCATTCTAACCACTATAATTGCATATACTAGTCCTCCTCTTTTAAGTCTCCCTGAGAAAAGATGCTGCATGAATGTGCTTGAATGAACCTATGCTCAAAGCCAGAAAATACCCTGCTTGCTAACAAATAGCAGGTAAAGAGAATGGAAGTGTGCAGAGCCTACACCAGACTGCCTGTGACAGGAACACTTCAGAAGGAAAATGAAATGCCTCTCTAGGGAGGCTCTCTCTGCACTCCTACAGTCTTTTTCCACGGAACCAACATAGGGCTCAAACATACTATTATCCCTCTCATACTGCTGGGTTTTTATTGTTCATCTGAGCAGGTGGCATTTTTGATCATGAATAGCAGTCTAAAATATGGGCTCCACTCTGCTGTGTGAGGATATGATTTCTAAAAATAGCTCCACTTAATTTCTGGACCGTTCTTGTAAATTAGGGGTGCGGCAGCCTTCACTTCTTTCAATCTCCTGTGAAACCATCAACAATCTGAGCTGTGGTATGTCTCATTTTGTACCTGATTCCCTGCACTCTGCTATTTGCACTCAGCAAAGCAGTAGTTTTCTTCCATCTTGGCTGGGATAAGTTTTACAGGACTTGTAATTTATTTAATCAATGGCCAAGGGGTGGGAAAATACAGCTGCTGCAACTCCCGTAGTTGTGGTTAGAAGTACACGTCTAACTGGCAGCAGGACAAAGTCAGCTAAAACACTGGAGCAAAACATCAGCAAAACATCACGTGTTAAGACCTTTTGGTTCTTAAATGACAGTCCTTTCACCTTTGGCTTCTCTCTTTAAGAGGACCCTACCTGGGATTCTGTCTTTAAAGATATTACTTTCTGAGCAAAATAGGATAAAACATGATCGGTCTCCCAGAAGCATAGCTTTCCAGTAAACCAGCTTTAGAGTTTTTACAGGCATTCAGATGTTTAATGTAATATCTCTGTAGTTTCAGACACTTCCTGACCAAAGAAAGCTGACATGTCTGCATGGCACCTCATGTGCAAGCATAACTGCAGATTAAATCCAAAATGTTCTGTGCCCCACTGAACTATAGGCATTCGGTTGGAGGACACTGTGCCCAGGTGAGCCTTGCATGCCTTGAACTGCCAGATGGGCTGAGGAATACCAAGCTCTGTGTGTTCAGGAGGTTGGGAACTGACTCTGTAGCTGTCCTACAGCAGTGCAGTAGCCATGCAGCCCTTGCCCTTGCACAGGCATGGCTGTGGAGCAAACTATGATTCCTTCCTGTGAATTACTGAGGAGAGTGTTCTATGTCAGACAGACACACATCTAACAGTTGAGAACCTTTGTGCTTCGTTTGCCAACAACCAAAGCACTCCGCCTGAAGCAGATGTAGCTGTGTGTTATCTGCTACTGCTCCCTACGATGCAAAAAGGAAATAAGGGCATATGAGCCAGGAGGAATATGCAGCACACTCTGGATCAAATTCCTTATTTAGACAGGAGTGTGTGCCCAGGACTTGCCAATTTACAATATCCCGACTTGGAAGGGATGCACAAGGATGAGGGAGTCCGACTCCTGGCTCCACACAGCACCACCCAAACATCAGGCCGTATGACCGAGGGCGCTGTTCAAACGCTCCTTGAGCTCAGGCAGCTGGGGCTGAGCCCACAGCCCTGGGCAGCCTGCTCCGTGCTCCCGCCCTGTGGTGCAGACCCTGTCCCTAAGCCCAGCTGCCCCTCCCCTGACACATCTCCACGCCATTCTCTCAGGCTCTGTCATTGCCACAGACAGCGGAGCCCAGCACCATTCCCTCCGCTCCTTGTGAGGAGCTGTAGGCTGCCATGAGGCCTCTCCTCAGCCTGCTCTGCTCGGGGCGGAACAAACCCAGTGGCCTCAGGTTTGTTTACTCATAACCTCTAAATATTCAGCACCAGACTAAGGTCTGCCTAAATCTCGGTGTGGAGAACGCTTCTCCCTTTGCCTCTCCCGCAGACCTACAATGAGCTCTACGACATTTGCATCCCGTTAGCACAACCCGCGGGCCCTTCGTATGCTGGATCTACCCCTTGCTCTCACCGTTCCGGGATTAAGGCGGCGGGCACGCCCGGCTTCCCAGCGCCGCTCCCTGCGCGGAGCCACCGGCCGCCAGAGGGCTCCGCGCGGCCTCCCCGCGTGGCGGAGCGGCTGAGCGGCGGAGTGGCGCCGCGTGCCCGCGCGCTCCCAGCCTGCCTCGCGCCGCGGACTACAGCTCCCAGCAGCCACCTCGCCGCGCCCGGCGCTCGACGGCCGGCGCCCGCCCTCCCCCTTCCCAAACGGCCGCCGGGCCCACGTGACCGCCGCGCGGCCAACCGGGTTTGTAGCCGTTTTTTTTCTTTGGATTTTTTTTTTTTTTTTTTTTTTTTTTTTTTTTCCCCACCCGCCCCTTCCCCTCCCCGCGGCGCTGGTGCGGCCAGACCGAGCTAAGATGGCGACCGTGGAACCGGTGAGTGCCTCTTTCCCGCTCGCCGCACGCCGCTCCCTCGCACCCCGCCGCCCCCTGCTTTCCACTCGCTGCCCCTGTTCCTTCCACCGCCGTTCCTCGGCGGGGCCGGCCGGGCCGTGCGGTGCCGGGCCGGGGGCGGGCAGGGCGGCGGGGCCGGCGCGGGGCGCACGCACGCACGCACGGCGCCGGGGGGAGGGGAACGCGGCGCGGGAGGTGGCGGGGCCGCGGACCGCGGCGGCGCCCTTTGTGCCGGGCTTGGGGCGGGCGGGGGCCGCCGGTAGGTGGACGGCGGCGGCGGCTGGACGGGGAAGAGGAGGAGGCGGGTGGCGCCGCGTGTGGCGCGCGGGGGTGGCCATGTTGCCGGGCCGGCGCGGCCCGCCGCTAACGGCGGCACTAACGGGTCCGAGCGGCCGGGGGGAGCGGCAGAGAGGGCGGCCCGTCCGTCCGTCCCGCGGACGGCGCCTTTCCGTCTCGAAGCCCGCACGC